AATAAGGGCATTATTGTATTAAAATTTTATTAATAAGGGATAGAATTGTAAAAAAAAAAAAGATTACCCAAGTAATCTTACAATATTTAAGAAAATGGAGGTAATCAGATTACCTCCAATATTACCAACAATAGTCACTATTGGTATTTGAAGGTTATCGGAATCTTATATTACTTAATTACCATATTACTTGATAAACCAAACATGGTAATCAAGTAATATAAGATGACTTAACCCCAATAATCTCATATAACCCCCAACCAAACGCTCCTATAATAGTTAAAGACGGTTAAAAAATTAATGAAGCAGGTGTTATGTGCGAAATTTCCAGTAATTATAGAAGTGTTATCAATAGATCCATCGTTGTCAAACTTGCACTAAGCCTTTTTTGCATATGAAAGGGTGAACAAGGTGTGCCCATGACAACTAACTTGCATCCCAGCATTCCGACCACAGAAAGAGGTCCCAAGTCAGGGTGCTTTTAAGGTAGAACAAGTTTAAGGGGAATTTTACTGCTAATAGTTCTAAAACAGCATTTCTCAGAAGACTGGCTGCCCTTCTGGAGAGTTGGCAAGGAAAAGGTGAATGGTAGAGAGGAAGGAAGCAGGTAGTGGAATCCAGTTCAAGTTGTGACTCTGAAAGCCAGTGACTCTGAAGTAGATATGACTATGGATGGCAATGGTGATTTCCAGGGTGGAAAGATTCTGGGAGTTATAGAGATCGGTATCCACGCAGATCTAGTCGGAGTAAGCAGCAGGTTTCTTATATGAGAATTTGAGTGATGATGATAACTTTGTGATCCATCCAAAAAGGGCTAAGGGGAGTGGATCATCCTATGGTACAGAAGAGGGGAGTGGAGATGGATTGAAAGAGGCACCTAAAATGAATAAGCCATCTGTTTCAGCTTCTGCTGTGAAAGAAGAACAGAGAGCGCAGAAAATAAGTGCATGTTTTGACCAGAGCTTACCGAATGGAACAAGGAAAACTGGGAAGGTGAGTGTAAAGAAAAGGTGGTAGAGGATGGCTGTCAAAAACTTCTGGAGCTCATGCTGATGGCTTTAAGAAAAGTGTTGAAAGTATTGATGACTCTACATCAAATTCCAGCTCTGATAGTGTACTAGATCCAGAACTTTATGTTTATCCTGATCCAGATTTCCATGACTTTGATACGGACAGGAAAGAAGAGCATTTCAAGGTAGACCAGATATGGGCAGTTTTAGACACTCTTGATGCCATGCCTAGATTCTATGCTCGGATCAGAAAGTTTTTCCTTCTGGGTTCAAGTTGCGAATAACCTGGCTAGAACCAGATCCAGATGATAAGAATGAAATCGAATGGGTCAATAATGGCTTGCCAGTTTGTTGTGGTAAATATAAGCTTGGGTTCTCTGAAAATACTGAAGATCGTCTTATGTTCTCTCATCTTGTGTCCTGGGAAAAAGGAAGACAGAGAGATACTACAAGGTATTTCCTAAAAAGAGAAACTTGGGCCCTGTTCAGGGACTGGGATTTTAACTGGAAATCGGAACCAGATACTAAGAAGCAGTTTGAATTTGAATTTGTTGAAATCCTGTCAGACTATGTTGAGGGTGTGGGTGTTTGTGTTGCAAACTTGGCTAAGGTGAAAGGCTTTCATCTGTGTTTTGTAGAAGGAGTAAGGAAGGATCAGGCTTATTTCAGATCAACCAGGTGAACTTTTTAGGTTCTCCCACAAGGTGCCATCCTTTACACTGTCTGGTGAGGAAAGAGAAGGTGTGCTGAAAGGGTCATTTGAACTTATCCAGCTTCTTTGCCTCTTAACCTTGAAGAGATTGCTCTTCCTAAATTTTAAAGCAATCTGGTGTTATTTTTCCAATTGTTCATTGGATCTTCAATGAGAAAAACTGTGATGGGGCTTAAAGAACAGACTCTTCGCACCGGCTGAAGTGAAGAAACCATGTAGAGCCTGAGAATGATATTGGCTGATGATATGAAGATTGAGTGCGGCTGAAGTGAAGGAGACCCATGTAAACCTGAGAATGATAATTTGGCTGGTGGTATTGAAGATTGCAATGTGGCTGAAGTGAAGGAGACCCTGTAGAACCTGAGAATGATAATTGGCTGGTGGTATTGAAGATTGTAATGTGGCTGAAGTGAAGGAGACCCATGTAGAACCTGAGAATGATATTGAAGATGTAGTGCTCGCCAGCTTCAATCCCTGAGGAAATTGAAATTCCAGAACCGGAATTCTACAATTTTGATGCTGAGAAATCCGAAGATAAGTTGCAGGTTGGTCAGATCTGGTCATTGTACAGTGATGAGGATGGCTTGCCAAAGTACTATGGTGAAATTGTAAAAATTGTTCTGATCCAGTTCTTAATTGCATGTGAGGTGGCTTGTTTCCAGCTCACTGCCAAGCAACTGTATTCGGTGGCTTGATGAAGACATGCCCATTTGTTGTGGAAGATTCAAGATTAAAAAGGGTGAAATCCAAAAGTACAATACCACCTGTTCTTGTCACATCAAGTAAAAGCAGAACGTGCTGGTAAGAAAGATAATACACCATTTCCCCTAGAAAAGGTGAGGTATGGGCCCTGTATAAGGATTGGAATGCCAAAATTAAATGCTCTGACTTGGAGAATTGTGAATATGATATCGTTGAAATCCAAAAGGCAAATGACTTGCGGATAGAAGTTCTTTCTTAGAGCGTGTAGATGGTTTCAATCAGTTTTTCGGCCTCAAGTAGTAGGAGCATCAGCCATGACTATGGATATACCCATGATTGAACTGCTTAGGTTCTCCCATCAAATTCCTGTTTTCCAGCTGACTGAAGAAGAGATGGCAGCCTGAGAGGCTTCTGGAACTGATCCTGCTGCGTTGCCGGTGCATTACTTTTGTCTTAAATATGTAGTGGCAACTTATGACAACGCTTAAGTTCATCTACAGTGGTGCTTGAGATTACATTAATTCCCAGAATGATATTTTATTTTGGGTGAAATTGCTCAACTGTGGTATACTTGGATGGTAGCTCTTAAAGGTGCATGAAATGGCTGGACTAGATGGAGTTTCCTGCTTTTGTGGTTTTCTTGGCTCCATGAAGTGCTTCTGGGAGAAAATGTTGTGCTGCAAATCACTGACAGGCTGCTTTCTCTGTTAACCATGAAAAGTGAATCTCTTAACTTCTGGAAGTTATTTTTGTTCCTACTGTATACCATCAGAGTTTCAGTACCAAATTACACAGTTTGTGCATCAACTGGTATGGGGGCATAGCGAGCTGCTTTGACCTCTCTATTAACTTTTGGTGTCCTTCTTCTCCCTTTTCAGTTTCTTTGTGATTCTCCTTCTTCTTCTCTTTCTCCTCACTCTCTTTAGGGATTTGGTATTCGCCATAAGTGCAAGAATAAAGCTTGGAGTTTGACGTTGAAAAGCTGAAATAATAGAGTGAGTTGCCGTGGAGAAGCTCATGAACTGACCCAGAATCAGTTCCAGTCACTCCAAGTTCTTTCTTTATTACGATGTGGTGAGTAATTTCAGCTACTCAGAAGAAATTCTTGGTGGGGATTTGTTCAAAGAAAAAGTTTTCATTTTCTAATGCAACAACTTGTGATTTTTATGGATTTTTTTTTCTTCTCGTTTTCTTGTTTCAACTCCATTTGTTTTTTGAGTTTTAAGTTAAAAGGTTATGGCTTTACAGCTTATTTAGTTTTGGTAAATGTTTAAATTTAGTTAGAAATTATGTCAGAATAAGAAGATTAAAATTAAAATTTTATATATTCTAAGATATAAATGGATATATATTTTTTTAAATGTCTATAAAAGTGTGTTTGTTAATAGGAGTAATTATTGAAATTTTTTTTTTGACTAACAATTTTAAGATCTTGGAGATTTGTTATGATACACGTAAATTAATCCGATATTTCCGGTAAAAAAAAAAAGAAAAAACCTCTACTGTTTCCCTATTTAAAATTCTTAAATATTTATTTTATAATTTTTTATTCCATATTAGTATGCATGAGTTTAGTTTATATAATGATATTTTTGTGCTAAAGTTGAAACCCTACTATTATTTTTTGAACCCACTAATTCCTAGTATTTATACAAGACCCTTACTTCTGAAATATTTTAGAAGTACAGGGGCTTAATAGAAATATACATAATAATCTTATTTCTGTAGCCCTTTCAATTTTAGATTAATAGTCAAAACTCGGATGCCTTCTCTTCCCCAATTTATAAACTCCAAAACCTCACCGTTTTCTCCACTTTCTCATTCCCTCCCTCAATTTTGGGCTTATTGATTCTTCTGTTCATTACAAAACAAGTAAGTGCTTTTTTTCCCCTCGGGCTTTTACATTTATCTTTCCTTTCTATTGTTTTAATTTCTTAATTACGATTTTAATTGGTTATTTTCATTTTCGGGGTCTGAAACCAATTAAGCGTTAGTTTTTTTATTTTGTTGGATTTTCACTTGTTGCATTGTTGTTTCATGGAAAATAAGAAGCTTGTGTCGTTTTGTTGTTAAAATTTAAAATTTTATTCTTTTTTTAAGTTTGGAAGTGAATATCTGTGGTGGGTTTTGTTATATATGTCAATATGTATATACTTGAATGGGTGCTTGAACTTAGGTTGTTTTTGAGGCTTAGAAGTGCATTTTTGAAGTGGGTTTTGCTTTATATGGGAGTATAGTAGGGTTTTTTTTTCAATTTTTGTTTCTGATTCTAGGGTTTACATATGTTCTTTCACTGTGTTAATTTCGTGTTTCAGAACAAGCTGCTTTGGTGAATTTAATGTAGAAATGTTGTTACTTGTTTTTTTTTTTGGTTGCTGTATCTATCTCCTTTAGTGCTTAAGCGTTTGTATGTTGAGTTGGTCATGTCGTTTAGTTTGAATGTTGATAAATGCAAATTGATGCACAATCTGCAGGTTCCATACTGACGTGATTGTTCAATGCCTTGAGTGATGGGTGGTGATCTCCAGCTTGTACATTTAATTGAAACAATTTGAGTTGGATTTTGGATTTTGGACTTTGGACTTTGCTCTGGTCATGGAGTGCAATAAAGAAGAGGCTGTCAGGGCCAAGGACATTGCAGAGAACAAGATGAAGAATAACGATTTTGTAGGGGCTCGTAAATTTGCACTCAAGGCCCAGCAACTTTATGGTGATTTGGAGAATATTTCTCAGATGATAATGGTTTGTGATGTACATTGTTCTGCTGAGAAGAAACTGTTTGGGAATGAGATGGACTGGTATGGTATCCTTCAGATTGAGCAGACCGTCGATGAAGCAACAATCAAGAAGCAGTACAGGAAGTTTGCTCTCCAACTTCATCCTGATAAAAATAAGTTCCCTGGTGCAGAAACTGCCTTTAAAATGATTGGAGAAGCACAAAGAGTGCTTTTGGATCCAGGTAAACGGTCAATGCATGACATGAGACGCAGACCGACCATCAGTAGACCGGCACCACCACCACAACCATATCAGCCCCCGCGGAAGCCAGCTTGGTACCCGACTGTAGGGGGTCACAACAACATTAGAAGTAACTTTACCCAACACCAGAAACCACAACAACCAGTTCAACCAGGCAATTACAGTGGCACCCAAACATTCTGGACTATGTGTCCATTTTGTACAGTTCGGTACCAGTATTATAGAAGTGTTATCAATAGATCCATCGTTTGTCAAACTTGCACTAAGCCTTTTGTTGCATATGAAAGGGGTGAACAAGGTGTGCCCATGACAACTAACTTGCATCAGCCAGCATTCCGACCACAGAAAGAGGTCCCAAGTCAGGGTGCTTTTAAGGTAGAACAAGTATTTAAGGGGAATTTTACTGCTAATAGTTCTAAAACAGCATTTTCTCAGAAGACTGGCTGCCCTCCTGGAGAGGTTGGCAAGGAAAAGGTGAATGGTAAGAGAGGAAGGAAGCAGGTAGTGGAATCCAGTTCAAGTTGTGACTCTGAAAGCAGCAGTGACTCTGAAGTAGATATGACTATGGATGGCAATGGTGATTTCCAGGGTGGAAAGAATTCTGGGAGTTATAGAGATCGGTATCCACGCAGATCTAGTCGGAGTAAGCAGCAGGTTTCTTATAATGAGAATTTGAGTGATGATGATAACTTTGTGATGCATCCAAAAAGGGCTAAGGGGAGTGGATCATCCTGTGGTACAGAAGAGGGGAGTGGAGATGGATTGAAAGAGGCACCTAAAATGAATAAGCCATCTGTTTCAGCTTCTGCTGTGAAAGAAGAACAGAGAGCACAGAAAATAAGTGCATGTTTTGACCAGAGCTTACCGAATGGAAACAAGGAAACTGGGAAGGTGAGTGTAAAAGAAAAGGTGGTAGATGATGGCTGTCAGAAAACTTCTGGAGCTCATGCTGATGGCATTAAGAAAAGTGTTGAAACTATTGATGACTCTACGTCAAATTCCAGCTCTGATAGTGTACTAGATCCAGAACTTTATGTTTATCCTGATCCAGATTTCCATGACTTTGATACAGACAGGAAAGAAGAGCATTTCAAGGTAGACCAGATATGGGCAGTTTATGACACTCTTGATGCCATGCCTAGATTCTATGCTCGGATCAGAAAAGTTTTTCCTTCTGGGTTCAAGTTGCGAATAACCTGGCTAGAACCAGATCCAGATGATAAGAATGAAATCGAATGGGTCAATAATGGCTTGCCAGTTTGTTGTGGTAAATATAAGCTTGGGTCTTCTGAAAATACTGAAGATCGTCTTATGTTCTCTCATCTTGTGTCCTGGGAAAAAGGAAGACAGAGAGATACTTACAAGGTATTTCCTAAAAAGGGAGAAACTTGGGCCCTGTTCAGGGACTGGGATTTTAACTGGAAATCGGAACCAGATACTAAGAAGCAGTTTGAATTTGAATTTGTTGAAATCCTGTCAGACTATGTTGAGGGTGTGGGTGTTTGTGTTGCAAACTTGGCTAAGGTGAAAGGCTTTTCATCTGTGTTTTGTAGAAGGAGTAAGGAAGAATCAGGCTCATTTCAGATTCAACCAGGTGAACTTTTTAGGTTCTCCCACAAGGTGCCATCCTTTACACTGTCTGGTGAGGAAAGAGAAGGTGTGCTGAAAGGGTCATTTGAACTTGATCCAGCTTCTTTGCCTCTTAACCTTGAAGAGATTGCTCTTCCTGAAATTTTGAAAGCAGATGCTGGTGTTACTTTTTCCAATTGTTCATTGGGATCTTCAAATGAAGAAAAACTTGTGATGGGGCTTAAAGAACAGACATCTTCGCACCAGGCTGAAGTGAAGGAAACCCATGTAGAGCCTGAGAATGATAATTTGGCTGATGATATTGAAGATTGTAGTGCGGCTGAAGTGAAGGAGACCCATGTAAAACCTGAGAATGATAATTTGGCTGGTGGTATTGAAGATTGCAATGTGGCTGAAGTGAAGGAGACCCATGTAGAACCTGAGAATGATAATTTGGCTGGTGGTATTGAAGATTGTAATGTGGCTGAAGTGAAGGAGACCCATGTAGAACCTGAGAATGATATTGAAGATTGTAGTGCTCGTCCAGCTTCAATCCCTGAGGAAATTGAAATTCCAGAACCGGAATTCTACAATTTTGATGCTGAGAAATCCGAAGATAAGTTGCAGGTTGGTCAGATCTGGTCATTGTACAGTGATGAGGATGGCTTGCCAAAGTACTATGGTGAAATTGTAAAAATTGAGTCTGATCCAGTTCTTAAATTGCATTTGAGGTGGCTTGTTTCCTGCTCACTGCCAAGCAACTGTATTCGGTGGCTTGATGAAGACATGCCCATTTGTTGTGGAAGATTCAAGATTAAAAAGGGTGAAATCCAAAAGTACAATACCACCTGTTCTTTGTCGCATCAAGTAAAAGCAGAACGTACTGGTAAGAAGAATGAATACACCATTTCCCCTAGAAAAGGTGAGGTATGGGCCCTGTATAAGGATTGGAATGCCAAAATTAAATGCTCTGACTTGGAGAATTGTGAATATGATATCGTTGAAATCCAAAAGGCAAATGACTTGCGGATAGAAGTCTTATTCTTAGAGCGTGTAGATGGTTTCAAATCAGTTTTTCGGCCTCAAGTAATAGGAGCATCAGCCATGACTATGGATATACCCATGATTGAACTGCTTAGGTTCTCCCATCAAATTCCTGTTTTCCAGCTGACTGACGAAAGAGATGGCAGCCTGAGAGGCTTCTGGGAACTTGATCCTGCTGCTTTGCCGGTGCATTACTTTTTGTCTTAAATAATGTAGTGGCAACTTATGACAACGCTTAAGTTCATCTACAGTGGTGCTTGAGATTACATTAACTCCCAGAATGATATTTTATTTTGGGTGAAATTGCTCAACTGTGGTATACTTGGATGGTAGCTCTTAAAGGTGCATGAAATGGCTGGACTAGATGGAAGTTTCCTGCTTTTGTGGTTTTCTTTGGCTCCACTGAAGTGCTTCTGGGAGAAAATGTTGTGCTGCAAATCACTGACAGGCTGCTTTCTATGTTAACCATGAAAAAGTGAATCTCTTAACTTCTGGAAGTTATTTTTATTTGGATTTTTAAGTGCAGACTTTTTGAATTTGTAGATCCTTTAAGTAGCCTTTTTCTTTTGGTTGTAGAAATCTCATATTAGAAGCATATATCCACATGCTTCATTTTGTAGTTGTTAACTTAAGAGCATTAATTGTCAGTTTCAGGATGTTTAAGTTACCATCATATGTGACTTGCAAATGCATTGAAAATTCTGTCTCCTCTGAAAGTCTGGCTTAATTTGCTCACACTTTAATCTTCTGACTATTTGGTTTTCAGCTTTTGTGAATGGTGTACTCGGATATTGAAATATGCTCATTTCATATTACACTAACAGAGATTTTGTGGTTGAGGAAAAACTAAACTGTCTCAGATGAAATTGAAGAATAAAGAACTCAAAAAAACACACAGTGAGAAACTTTTGAGGATTTGAAAATGGCCTAAACTTGGGCATGCAAATTTTGGGCTCAGGAAGGTGATGTTAATTTAATTTTATCTAACAGATGTGCAAAGCGCAATTGAAGTATAATTGTTTTAATGTACATATTTTCTCTTGCCCTTTGCTAATAACGCTTGATATTATTAGAAATGTCCACAAAATATCATATTTGTAAAGATCAACGCTCATATGAAAGTGAAGAAGGAATTCGGCCATTTGAATTGAAATTTTCAAATAAAATTGTCACCTTTATCAACAGAGGGCATTTGGTCTAGTGGTATGATTCTCGCTTTGGGTGCGAGAGGTCCCGAGTTCGATTCTCGGAATGCCCCTTTTGTTATCTCTCCTTTATTTTTATTTTTAATTTTCAAGGGAATCGATTCATTATCCCCATCCCGTGAATAATGCAAATGAAAATTTGTTAATTACAAAAATGACATTTTTAACCTTTAATCCAAATTTAATAAATTGCCCTAAACTAATTAAAATTTAAAACTACAAATATGAAATAAAATTTATAAATTTTCTTTTTCACCCTCACGCACTTTTCTACGTAAATTTAATTAATTTCTTTTCCATCCAAACAAACTTCATCACCAACATCCTCAACAGTACATCTCTATTTCTTTCCAAAACCCAATTTTACATCACAATTTTTCTCTCCACTGATCTATCAACTTTCAAACTCTACAAAGTATTAACCCAAACTCTGAACTAATCAAATTTATTTAATTCAAAACTGCCTAGCCAAGCGGCGGCCAAATCGATGCCACTATCTATTTGACCACACCTTAGTTGGATCGAGCCGCCAAACGGCGAATGGGGAGGGTGGAAGAGAGAGAAGAAAGGAAGAAAGGAGGAAGAAGAAGGAGAAAAAAGAGAAGCAAAAGGAAGAAAGAAAAAATATATTTGGGTTTTATGAAAAGTCAAAAATATCTTTTATATGTTTATTAGACGGCCAGATCTCGACCAGATCTGGTAGATAAAGGCTTAACGGCCAAACCCATCAATCTAGCCGAAAATTGCCAGAATAAATATGGCAATTTTCGGCTAGATCTGGCCTGATATGGCCGTTTTCGGCCATCAATATGGCCAGAAACGGCCATATTGGGGTCTCCCGGTCACGGTGGGCTGCTTACAGCGACTCCAGGTGACTTTCCATGACGGTTGGCGGTGGTTTGGCTGGCGGCAGGCGGCAGTAGGTGGGTGGGGGTGGTGGGTTGGGTAAGCTGAAATTTGTTTTAATTTGAGGGGTAATTTTGTCAAAAAATTAATTAAATGGGTTGAAAAGGTAAAAGGAAGATTCATGTAAATAAATTTAAAAATAAAGGCATTATTGTCCTAAAATTTTATTAATAAGGGATAGAATTGTAAAAAAGAAAAGACTACCCAAGTAATCTTACAATACCTAAGAAAATGGAAGTAATCAGATTACTTCCAATATTACTAACAATAGCCACTATTGGTATTTGAAGATTATTGAAATTTTATATTACTTGACAAACCAAACATGATAATCAAGTAATATAATACCTCAATAATTTCATATAACCTTTAACCAAACGCCCCCTATAATAGTTAAAGACGGTTAAAAAATTAATGAAGCGGGTGTTATGTGCGAAATTTTTTTTTTGGTCTTTGTGCCATCCGTTGAGGGGACAAACGTTGGGGATTTTCAAACATATCCCAATTTTTAGATTGTTTTATTTAATTTTTAAGATTTTTTTTTAATTTTTAATAAAAATATTTTTATAATTTAATAAATATCTATGGGTATTGTTGCCTTCTTACATAAGCATAGTTAAATTTAGGGATATTAATAAATTGATCCAAACTTGGGGGTTTTAATTAATGACCAACTTTCCAAACCTTATTCCTTACATCCAAATATGTCATCTAAATACCAAAATGCCCTTGCCTCTAACCTTCTAAAACGCACAAAAAATTTTGTTTTGAGCATATGTTAATAAACACCCTCACCTATATTAATATTTTACTACCTTCTTAGGTTTTAGAAAGAATTAATGATTTTTTCCCACTCGAAAAATGGTATAATGACATTTTCCCACTCACAGACTTTTAAAATACAATTTTAATATCCAAAGCAAAAATCCGTTAGTAATTTAAGTTGTGAGGAAGGGCAAGAAGGAGAAAAGGCAGTTATAAGTGAGTATTGTCATTAAACATTTTCCATCAAATTTAAAAAATAAAGCCATTATATCACTTGTTTTAAAAAAAGGAAAAATCAAATTTTAAAAAAGGCCGTTAGTTATAAGTGACACGTGGCCTAGGAAGTTGACTCTAGTAAGGAAAACAAAAGGGCAAAATCATATCACTTGTTGCGTGTTCTGGAAGAGGCGAGGTTTGTGTTTTCTGCTACCAAACTTCCACGGGTTTTGGTGATTTTGGCGATGTTTGAGTGTTAACAACGACTTGCATTGAAGGGTTAGACTGGTGATTGGAGAGTTTGGAGTTTTGGCTCGGTTAAAGGTGTTGTTGACAAGGTTTTGGGTTGTGGAGGCGGAGTTTCCTTGGCGAACAACGAGGGTTTGAAGCGAGTTTGAGTCACGGTTGGACGACTGAGTGTGAGTTTTGGCTTGCTTCTAGATTGCTAAAGAAAGGCTTAATGTTAGCGGCCATTTAGACTTCTGGAGGTAGTCTTCTTTTAGTTTTTTGTGGTTTATGTTTACGTACAACATGCAAAATAAAGCCATGAGCCATCTGCTATTGTGTCTATGATACGCTTTTAATGGATTTGTAATATACTATTTTAATTTTTTGCTTCTGTCGATTAAAAAAAGCCATGATAATATGGTTTTCATTCTTTACCCATGGCTTTACACAACTTTTTAAATTCTTAATGCCTATGACTATGTGCAAACCTTTGCTGATGTATGAAGGCTNGTAATATACTATTTTAATTTTTTGCTTCTGTCGATTAAAAAAAGCCATGATAATATGGTTTTCATTCTTTACCCATGGCTTTACACAACTTTTTAGATTCTTAATGCCTATGACTATGTGCAAACCTTTGCTGATGTATGAAGGCTATAAATTTCCTTGGTTCAAATTATTTATATACGTTTATAAATTGCTTGTCTAATATAAATCAAGATACAGTTGGGTTTATAAAATTAGTTTCAAATCAGAGTCATGTCTGGATTTTATTTGAATTTGAATGATAGATGCAAGGTTTGTTTTGTTTTTTTAATGTATATATATATATATGAGTTAGTGTATTGAGTGTTGCATTTTGTTTGAGATTATACATATTTAAAATAAAGAATTGCAATTTATGTTCCTTTCCATGTGGTTAATTGAAATTGCCATTTGTTGTACTAGTAAAACAATTGAGCTTGATGATTTTACTTTCCATTAATGTTGAACTTGACGAGGTTTCATTTGGAGAAAACTGTGAGTTTTGTGCCACCTGATGGTGAATTTGAATTGATGAAGTAAGTTGAGAAATTGTCTGAACTTATGTTGTGTTGGAAGACTTAAATCTTATAATTGTAGTCATAGGCCATGTGATGATATTATATTTTACTAAGGCATGCAAATTGTGTTTTATATTTAAGTGAAATTAGCTTCCAGATACAAATTCCTCTATTTAATTTATCTGCCTTTTATAGAAATATTAGTCAATTAGGCATAAATTACAGGTAAAAGAATTTTTGAGGTTGATCAAAAAATTTTGTTTGATAAAATTAGCAATCGGGCATTAACAGTTGACAATTTTTTTCACATCATTGTATCAGTGTAGTTGTTATTTTCCCCATGTATTTTGCATTATATATCCTTTTATAGTATTTCTTTATGTGATGACATCATTGTCATTTAATACATGGAAGTTCTTGGTGGTTGTGTAAGTTTTAATTTTCTTGTGTCTGATTCTTTGTCTAAATGAATTCAGTGATGTAATCTATTATTTTGAGAAACATTTAAAAATATAAGGTTTTGTTTACTTGCACCAACAGCCACGGAAAAATAAGGTTTAATATGTAAGGTTTTGTATGCTTTTGCTTTAATATTTAATAAAATGTTAGAATATGGGATAGCTTGGCATCATTTCTTTTTTATATTAACTTCTTTTTTATACTTACTTCTTATGCATGATATGTTTGTCTATTCATATGATATAAACACCTTATGGAATGGTTAAATTTTACCAACACTCTATTAATGTTTTTTTTCCTATGGTTTTTGCTGGAAAAAAAAAAAAAAAAAAAAGAATTGTTGATTGAATTCCAAATAACATGGGATAACAAGGAATAACATGAAGTCCAAATAAGAGTCATTGAAAGGAATGAATTCTTTAAAACTTTCTTCTACCTGATATGTCATGAATGACATGCATTGTGCAAATTTGAACTTAATGTATAACTTGGCATAATGATTATGTATTTGTGTTTTGCAGGATGAAGCCACAAAAGTTCAATTTCAAATTCAATTTGTTCAGAGTTGATAGTGAGATTGGGAATGTGGACCCTAATGAATTCAGTTACATTGTGTTGATTAAGGACATGAAGAAATGCGTGGCCAAGGAGAATGAGGAAGTAAACCTTTTCCTTGATGAGAAGTTTAGGGTAGAAGCTATGTTACCTATGTCTATGGAAAGATACTTATTAAACAGTGATGACGACGTAATGTTTATTTTTTAGGAGTATAGATTGAAAGGGGTAGTTGACATTAAGTTGTTTGTCAAAGCTTTGCATGTACAAATAATAGAACCCTTACTAGCTTTGCTA